TTCACTTCCTGAGTGTGCTCCTACAAGCAATACTATGTAACCCTTCTAGGTCGGCTTCCCTAGACACATCTGAGGGCTTGCTCCCTAGCCCAAAGCCTCTAGAAGCCATACCACAGCAGAAATGAGCCTGAATCCCAAAGGCTTTCTCCCGAATCACTTTTTCTACTCTATATCACTGGCACCACATTCTCTTCATCATCTGGTAGCTGCTAAATAAAAAGAAGAATTTCTAAACCAGATCTGGTTCAGGTTTGACACAGAAAACTGCCTTATAAGGTATAAAAGCCCGAAAGCAGGAAGAGGCTTTGACAAAACTAAGGAAGTTCCTATGCGCTTGCTCGGTCGAGGGGGAGGGGTTTTTTTCTTCCACAGAGAAAAGTACCACAGAATAAATGACATTAGCCACATATTACGATTAATAAATCAATACACAAAAAACCCGCAGACGGCACCCGACCGAGCGGTGACTCCCCTAAGCGAGGCGTTCCGGCAGTTCGCAGGCAGCCGCTCACGGCGTCCGAACGACCGCGGTCACCGCTCGCCAACCCCGGCCCCGGCAGCCGTACAGGGTCCCCCACGCCCCGGCGGGTACTGGCCGCGGAGCCGCAAGTGGCTGCTCTGAGCGGCCCCGGCCAGCCCGAGGGCTCCCGGACAACGAGCGGGAGGAGCGCTGCCCCGGAGCAAGCCGACTGCCGGGGGCTCTGACTGACGGCGGGGCAGCGGGGCCGCGCCGGGACACCCCTCCCCGCGGGCGCCCGCGGCGGACCTGATGGAGAAAAGAAAGCACCCGGCTACTCCCTGCAAGTCGGCCCGGCGCTCCCGCTACCGGCATCGCGGCGGCTCGGGCACGTCTACCCGGCCCGGCTTGGCTTGGCTTGGCTTGCCTTGGCTCGGCCCCGCCACAGGCAGCACGACCCCCGCCGCCATCTGCAGCAGCAGAACCCACCCAGCCCCGCCCCGGGCGGCACCGAGCTGTCAGCGGCCGGCCCAGCCGTCGCTCACCCCGTGCCGCAGTCCACCACACAGGCCGGAAGCCGCCCTGCCATGCTCCTCGGTAGCAGCGGTGCTGGGAACGGCGGGCAGCCCTGGGCGCGCTGCGGCGGGGCTCAGCGGCGGGGACTGAGGACACTTCCGCAAGGCGGGCGCTCCCTCCCCCGCCCGCTCACTCGCAGGCACGGCCCAGCGAGCCCAAGATGGCTGACCCGCCCTTCCCTGCGCGCGGCGGCGAGGGCGGGCGCGACAACCCCAGTCCTCGGTGACGTCCGATCTCGCGGCCTCGCCCCTGCGAGGCGGCGCGGAGTGGAGCGGAGCGGGCGGGCGGGTTCTCGGCCAACGGCGGCAGTCTTGTGGCAGCGTCGGGGGGCAGAGTAGGCGAGGGCGGTTGAAGTAGTGCTTTAACGCTGAAAACCCGAGAGAAGATGGGGCGAGGAGGTTGCATGGTGTGAGAAGTGTGCTGACAATGACGAGGGGACCGCGTGTTGCAGGCTCTGCAACTGAAGGGCTGAAAGCTCTCTGCAGATAAACTCTTCCTGAAGGGCAAATGGAGGAGGTCACGCTCCTCATCGTGCTTGTTGGCACTGCCATACGCTAGCAGGGCTGATGAGTAAAACACCTGCTGGGGAAGGTACCAAATACCCCGCAGCACCAGCCTGCAAGGAAGGTCAGACAAGACTCTGTGAAAACTTGATTTTTGTATCAAAAACTTGTATTCAGAGGAAACCCTTGAGCTCTTTTCACCTCTTGCTACCATGTGTGTGCCATGCTCCCATGTAACTGCAGCAAACAAGCATGGCTCAGCCTTGACCAGCCATCCCAGCACCCCTGCTGATGGGATTGTGGTGTCTACCGCTTCTTGAGTTTAGCCATAGGTCCCTGTCCTCCTGTTGAAGGACTTTTGTCCCAAGGGGGGCAAGGGCACGCACTGTTGGGGCTCTGATGTTCAGGTGGACAAAACCAAAAAAATATGTTCAAGGGATTGCTCTTTTTCTCTCTTTTCACCCTTTGGAGCCCTTCTAGGCTTTGAGGGACAGACAGCTGTATACACCAGGTCTGGCCTAGTTTCTTGCCCCAGGGTGTACTCTAGCCAAACGCTATTTTTTGATTCTTTTAAAAGTATTTGAATGTTTTAACAGTTCTGATATTGGGGCTTTCACATGTTTACCAGTCCTTTGCTTGCTGCTACCACCTAGGCAATGTACTGATGGGAACTTCGTGGTTTAATGGAGTGTCATGCTGAGGAGAAACTAGGTAGGTCATCTGGAGTAATTGCAGGGCTCAGCATGCACTGATGGGCCTTAATGGCTCTCATCAGCCTCACCTGGGACCTCCACCCCACACTTCCTACCCAGGAGCACAGGAGGCCCATTTTAGCTCAGCCATGGGCCCTAAGTTTTTGTCTAAACTATCCTCTAGGTGTGTGTTGCCCTAGTTTTGCTTTATGGTTTTGTATTAAACTTATCCCTTTGGGCTTCCCTGGCTGCTATCACTGGCCCTAGTCCTGGTCTGCACTCTGACATCCTGGCTTCACCTTGGACCTGTTTCACAGCTGTGAGCTTGTCTGGCAATCTGGGCTCTTGGTTGAATCTGACCACTATCTTTGGATCTGCCTAGCTTGCCTCAGCCATGTACTATGGGATGTGCTCAGGCTGGTGAGTCCCCAGCCTTGCTGGTTGTGTTACTGCAGCTGGCCCCACCCCATGTCCCTTAGCCCTCAAGGTGGTCTTGCTTCTTTCTTAAAGCATTAGTCCCCCTCAGTTTAAGCTATCTCAAATAAGCTCATTCCCTGAGTTCACTGTAAAGCAGGCAAGAATCAGTGCCAGTGCAAAAAAAAAAAAAAAAAAAAAAAAAAAAAAATGCTAGGTACATGCCCTTCAGAGTGAGTTAGGAGGGAGCAAAATCATCCCTTTTTCCACCAGCAGCTAGACAATTCAGTTGTGAAGTTCAAGCCACCATCTGGCTTCTGTGGGCTGCCAGATCTTCCTGAGGAACATAAGCAAGGAAAGGAGATATGAGAATATTAACATTCTTTCTTTAATGTCAAGGCAAATTATGAATAGAACATTATGAGGCAGTTACAGATAATGAAAGGGATTTCTGCAGGATATTGTGTAGCCTGTGAGCTATGCTGTGCTAGAAAATAAAAGATCAGTATCTCTGAAATCTTTTCAGAGAAAGTAAAAATAACCCTGTTTTTAATGCACATGCATGCATCTGTGTGTGCATAGGTACTCATCTAAAATAAATAGAGTTATTATATAAAGTAACGTGGACTTTTCACTTTCCTCTTGGTTTTATTACCTGGTATTCAGGTTTATACATGCGGCAGGTTCAGCTGCTGCATCTGGCTGATGGAGTCCTGGAATGAGAGAGCAGCTTAGTGCTCCAGTTGCAGGAGTTCAAGTAACCCCCCATAGGAGCATGAGACAAGGGCCCAAAAACTGTGGCATGCATATAGTGTGGTGCTGGCAGGTCTTGTCCTGGCTATACAGCTCATTAGAGGTATCAGAGAAGGGATCAGATTCACCAAGTTAGTATGCCCAACTGTAGGGACTTTTGAACAATGTAATCATCAGTGTACCATAGCTAACTTTACTACTTAGTATCTCCAAATAATGCTCCTGGTTAGTGTAGAAAAACTTTAATAGAAAAGTCAAAAGACATATAGAAGACCAGCTAAGCTGATGAGTTTCTGCTAACAGAACCATCATTTCACTATAACACATTAAATCACACACATAAGCACTTACTGTAGTGCACTCTACAGAAAATATCCCATAGCTGTATTTATTTCTGTTTTCTCCTTGTGAGTACAAATGTTTTCTGTGAAATGGTAGGACACTGAAAGGAAAAAAAAACACAAAAAAACAAACTGCAGTTTATATGGAAAGTGAAACAAATCTGTTGAGCAACTCCATTATGATCTTGTGCTGTGAATTTGTGTTCTTCCTGAGTCTGCATTACAAATGACATTGAAAGAGAGCAGTGCTGGTTCATTTTGTTTTTATTAATTACAGTGGAATTTACATTTGAGGACCAAGAAGCATAGGATTTCTCTCAATATTAAGGTGCCAAGTCACATTTTTGCAAGGGAAGTTGAAAGACTGAACTTCCTGGCCATGATATCTTGTTTCACTTTATTAGTCTTGCCAGATGCAGTTCTTCAGGTGGCTGTGGACTCAGTCATCAGTGCAGTAACAAAGGTGTAAAGTCAGTGGTTTAGTATATTCTCAATCTTCCCAATGGAATAGTAGTGAATAAAATCCTAAATGGCCTTTATCTGGTTCCATGCTGTACAGCAGACATAATCCCGCAATATCCTCATTCTGTGATGCATCACAGTCCAGCTTTTATAAGCACAATTGGATTGCAGGTGATCTTTTCCTGAATATCCATGATAGCAGAAGTAATTACCATTGCAGAGCATCCTCCTTCTGTTACTGTCTGCCTCCCAGCAGGTTACAACATAAATATAAAAGAAGAGAATGCATATGAATACAAATGCATAAGGAATTAGAAGATAAAAGTTCAAAAGGAAAGTATTTCTATTAGTCAACAAGTAAACACAGGAGCAGTCTAACAGTTTAGTTTAGATGGAGGGAAATTCAGACAACTTTCTACAATTTTTATATAAATAAGTCTTGAGGTTCCAAATTTTTCCATGATGCAGGTATGATTTACTAGCTCTGTCAATACTACATATTAAAATTTCACAAGTCTTTAACTACACAAAAGCATTACAAATCACTTGTGAAGCTACATAGGAAGGTTTTCAGCATCCTGCTTATTCTGGATCATTTTCCTGCAGTTAATGGCCTGCTCTTGAGCATGCAGACAGAATAACTCTGTGAATCCATATATAGATCAAGGCCTGGGAAGCACAGTAAAGTGCAAAGAACAAGGAAAAACAAAAGACAGTAAAAGTTGCAGGGGTGAAGGGGTTTTGGAAATGCCCAGAAGGACTGAGAATCTAAACTTGCCCAGATCAGCACGTTGCCATTTAGAATGCTATAAACTTAATTTAAAAGGCAAGTACATCCCACTGGACATACTTTAAGCCCAGGCAAAGCTGACAATAAAAGCTAGAGAAACAGCCAAGGAAAATTAGGTCTAGGTTATCCATTAAACAATATTCACTTTATTGTATTTATTATAAAGTACATTACCTAAGCATTTTAACATAGATAAGTTCTACCAATAGTTGGTGGAATACTACAGAGAGCTAAACAAAAAAACATTTTATCTACCCCAGTACAAGATGTATGTAGATTTCTTCCAGGAAGGGCCACAAGCAATATTACTTTGTGTTACTGGTTGATTTTGGCATAGCTATAGCAACAGCCATATGGGAGGCATGTGGAGCTGCACATGGCGAAGTCGTGTTATTACCAGGATCTCATTTGATGTGGCTACTCTCCAAGAGTTCTGACTTAGATCAACTAAAACCATTAACTTTCAAAATACAATCAGTGTGATCATATTTTTTTTTAATAACAAATGGAAAAAAACCAACTATGATTGTTTGTACGCTGAAACAAGGTATGTAAGGAGAGAAACTCATAAACTGGGGCTTGTTTATATTCTTGGACTATTATGATATTAGGACTATTGCTTAGAATATTTGGTAGGAATAACAGCAAAATGTGTGTCAGAAGATAAACTTAGAAAAAATAGAGGGAGAATTTGACTGAAAACGTGATGACTTAAATAGGAATTTGATGTTCTGGGCAGAGGCAAAATCTGCAAAAGTCATGCTGTGCATAGAATAACTGCATTCCTATTTACAGCTTGCTTCACCAGTCAAAATATACAGAATCAGAAAATTGTTAGGGTTGGAAGGGTCCTCTGGAGATCATCTTGTCCAACCCGCTGCCAAGGCAGGGCTCCTAGAGCAGGTTACACAGGAAACACGCCCAGGCGGGTTTTGAATGTCTCCAGAGACAGAGACTCCACAACCTCCCTGGGTAGCTTCTTCCAATGCTCTGTCACCCTCAACGTATAGAACTTCTTCCCCATGTTGAGAGGGAACCTCTTTTATTTTATGGCCATTGCTCTTTGTCCTGTTGTTGGACACCAGCAAAGAGAGTCCAGCACCATCCTCAGCACCCACCTTTGAGATATTTATATACATTCATGAGATCCCCTCCAAGTCTTCTCTAAACTAAATAGGCTCTGCTTCCACATTGTCTCCTCGTAAGAAACACACTCGAGACCCGTGATCATCTTTGTGGCCCTCTGCTGGACCCTTTCCGATAGCTCCTTGTCTGTCTCATGCTGAGGAGTCCAGCACTGGACAGAGTACTCCAGATGTGCCTTCACTATGGCTGAGTAGAGGGGGAGGATCACCTTGCTTGATATGCTAGCCACACTCCTCCAGATGCACCCCAGGTTACTATTGGCTGCTGGCTCATAGCCAGCTTATCATCTACCAATATTCCCAGGTCTCAGCTGAACTGCTCTCTAGTAGATCAGTCCCCAACCTATACTGGTACTTGGGTTCTTCCTCCCCAGGTGCAGTACCCTACACATGCCCTTAATGAACCTCATTAGGTTTCTCTCTGCTCAGTTCTCCAGCCTAACAGGGTCCTGTTGGATGGCAGCACAGCCTTCAGGTGTATCAGCCTGTTTTTTTTAAAAAAAGCCCAGCTCTTTATCATCAGCAGACTTGCTGAGGGTATGCTGTAGTCCATCATCCAGGTCACTGATAAACAAGTTGAGTAAGACTAGATCCAGTACTGATCCTTGGAGAGCACCACTGGCTACAGGCCTACAACTGGATCCTACTCTACTGATCATGACCCTCTGAGCTTTGTCATGCAGCCACTTTTTGATCCACCTCACTGTCCATTTATTTAACCCATATTTCCTAAGCTTACCTACAAGGATGTTATGGGAGACAGTGTCAAAAGGCTTGCTGATGTTGAGGTAACATCCACTGCTCTCCCCTCATCAGTCCATCCTGCCGTGTCATCATAGAAGGTTATCACATTGGTCAAGCATGAATTGTGTATCTTTCTGCTGCTATTCTGTGCTTTCTTATAACAAAGTCTTGTTCCTTTATAATGCTTCTGTAAGTGAATTAGTAGAATGATGACAGCAGGATTCCTACAACAGCAAAGCAGGATACAAACCTCTGTGCTACACCTATACCGCACAGGCTCCACACAGTCACACCTGGGAGCCAAATAATAGCTTGGTCATGATGAGAAAACCTGTGCTTTCTCATGTAATAGAAACATTATTATGTGTTCTCAGTTGCACCTATTTACTTTCTTGGCTGGAACAAATGTGTATTGCTACCTTTTAATATGACTTATTATACTCTTCAACAGAACTGAGAACCTAAATCAATCACAGCTCTAAGTATCTGATCTGCTTTAGTGGTTTTCCTTTAGGTATCAACTTTCATGTTCACCATGTTATAAATCATTGATTTGAGTAACAGCCATTATAACTTGCAAACATTTATAATCCCACTATTTTTAATTTAGTGATATTTCATTTTTTATTCAAAGATATCATCCCTGGGCTAAATCAAATCAGTATGTCACTAGTTTGCAGTTTAGCAGCCATTGCAGGTATCTTTAACCAGTGAGGCTTCCAGCAGAGCACAGAAGCTCACCATGGTAAAACCAGGCCTTAACAAAGGTGACATCTATAAGAGCAAGAAAATTGCCAGATCATCCATGCTTAGAACAGAGGATCGAGCTCATCCAAGTGGGTCATTTCACAAAAGCAGTGGTGAAGAGTCATTGAGCATGTGATGGCACCGTGGATTTTTAAGCTATTCATTTGAAACTGCAAGCAATTGAATGTATGACAGGTAAAATCAGTTTCTGTTCTGACACTTGTTCAGACTTTAACCACTGTTTACCAGCTTTTGAGAGGACTTTTCATAAGAGGATTATTTAGAAACACTCATATTTTACCTTTTTTTGTGTTTTCCTTGTTTTGTGACTTTTGAAAAAAATATATTCTCTGATTCAAGCAGTTGACTCCTCAGACAGCTTTTAAAAGACAACAGATGTTAAAGTCTACTATATCACAACTATGGTCATTGTGACATTTTACTCTTATTGTACTTGTTTCAAGGTAATGCGAGGAGCAGAGGAGAATTAGGAGGAGAATTGGAAACTTGCATAGACAGATGTCCTTCTCTGGGTGCAGCAGTGTGCTGCTTGAAAATGTTACCAGCCTTTCCAGTCAGCTGGATATTCTAGCATCCACAGTTCTATTGGCAGAAACATAAATAAGCACTCCCTAATTGTCTCCAGACAAAAGGGGATATAACTAAAAATATTTTCCGATAAGTAATTTGGCTTCTTTCTTTCTAGCAGGATAAGGAATGTTCTCTCTAGCAAAGTAAAGAACAGTCTCTCCATCAGAGCTGGGGGATAGCAGTATACAGCTCATGCAGTGATTTATTTAGAAAACAATGAATAATAATAATAAAGTTAGTCAACAGCGAAAACACTTGAAAAGTACTGCATTCCTAAATCAATCAGTCAATCAGTCAAATTCTGGTGACAGTGCTGCACACATAAAAAAATGGAAACAATTCTAAAGCACTATTTCTAAATGCTGGGTACCTCCATACAAGGTTTATTCAGACTGTTTGGTAATATATACACAAATAAACCACTACCTTATTTCTGTAAAGTTTCTTGCTTGTCCTGCTGAAAGATTGTAGGAAATTCTCCTGAAAAAATAATGGATCATAAGAAAGTATAAAAGGTGACTTGCAACTCTACAGTGCTGTGTCAGCCACTGTAAGGATTATATGGATGTCTCTGATGAATCATAGCATCATAGAATGGTTTGGGTTGGAAGGGACCTTAACCATCATCTAGTTCCACCCCCAGCCACAGGCAGGGACACCTTCCATGAGACCAGGTTGCTCCAAGCCCCATCCAACCTGGCCTTGAATACTGCCAGGGCAATCTGTGCCAGTGCCTCACCACTCTCATAGTAAAGAATTATTTCCTCATAGCTGAATCTACCCTTTTCCAATTTAAAGCCATTTCCCCTTGTCCTATCCTTATCTGCCTTTGTTAAAAGCCCCCCTCCAGCTTTCCTGTAGGCCCCTTTAGGTACTGGAAGCTGCTCAAAGGTCCTCTGGAGCCTTCTCTTCTCCAGGCTTAAGAAGCCCAGCTCTCTCAGGCTGTCTGCATAAGAGAGGTGCTCCAGCCCTTTGATCATCTTGGTGGACTTCCTCAGGACTGACTCCAACAGGTCCAAAACTGATAGAAACATTGTATCCAAATCTTCCACTGACTCTACTGCTTTGAAAATTGTACTAGAAACAAAAACTGTGGCAAATCATGCTCAGGAGCATGTAAATTTCACAAAATCTCATAGAGAGATTATGTTAGCCCTTATCATAAGAATAGGGGCATTAAAATACCTATGTTGGGTACTACATGCCTTTTCAAGTTGGTGTGCCATCTAACAAACCAACCAACTTGACCTTTAAGGACAATAAATTTTGAAACCTCACTGTCTGAAAACAAGGCACTGTCAAAGCCTAGCATCAGTAACTCTGTCAGTGCAACATCTCACTGCATTTTTGGTGCAGTTTAAGAGCCTCTGCATTGAAAAGACCGCACGTACTTGTTAATGTCACAAGATGTGAAAACCAGAAACTTTCTCTCCTGTATTTCCCTGCAGAATAACTTCACGTTTAATCCACTTGTGTGCTCTATAGAACCTATATATATATATACAGCATGTCTCCCATGCTAATTCTGTTAAGAATCAATATTGGATGTTTGTTCCTTTGCTTTAGGCCCTTCTTATGAGAATACCTGACTTATCTGTAATATTACGCATGCCCAGCAAGTGATCAGTTAACTATTACTATATTGGGCAATACTGCAATTCACTTTGAATAGTACCTTCTGTTGCAATGAACCTCAGTGAATCACTGTGATTATTCATACAGGAATGTGCAAAAGCAGAAGTATAAAAATCTGTTCTGTGTTCTCCTGATCATGCCGGGTCAGATTACATGCAGTTCTAATGTTTCAGCCTTGCTTTGGGAAAACTGCCTAAATTGACTTTTAGGAAGTTGTTTTTTTGGGAATATTCACTGCAAGTAAAAATCACATTTGACTCTCTGTTAAAGCCTGGTTTTTTTTATGGGGTTTTTGTGGATTGCACCTCCAGACAGAGCAGGTACCCATGCTCACAAAAGCATTTCTGCTAGCTATGATAGTCAAATGAGTCTCTACTTGTCCAGCATGTGTGAAGGTTACACGTGCAGTCCCCTTGTGCACATGATTTTTCTCAATGGCATGGTAATTCTGTAATTCGGAGCACTTCTGAAAGGTTTACTTTCCATTTACGTTTTGTTTTGCTTGGATAGGCTTCCAAATGTTTTTTTTAATTGTCTTTTTAAAGGAAATTATGATTACAATTCCTCTACTGAAAATAATTAAGTGATAGCAATTTAGTAATTTTCAGTCTGGGAAATACCATTGCCAATTAA